CTGGATCCCCCTCGTGGAACCTGGGGGGGAGGAGCGGCTGATCTGGCGTGGAGAATCCGATCGGCGATGCCCGGCGGGGCCAATGGGGCGCCGGACGCCGTCGCGCGGCGCACCCCGCCGGCCGGTGTCCGCGCGATGTCCGGGCTGGCCGCGGGTGGCGAGCTGCGGCGCGCGGACCCTTGGCCCACTGAGGTCGTGTGTGCTGCTGGCGGAATTGCAGTATCCTCACGTGCGCCTGGCGGGGCCGACGAACGTCCTCGGGCGCAGCAGCATCAGCGGGCCTGACGGTACGGACGGCTGCCTCGTGCCCCAGCTGTGCTCCCTGCAGGTGGGTCTCCCGTCTCCCGGCCCTCGCGGCGGTGCAGCCCTTGGCGGCCCTGCGCGTGGAAATTTCGAGTCGCTGCCTGACTCGAGCCACGGTCGCTGCGGTACCGGGGCTGTCCTGCCCTGTACTCCATGATTCTTTGAGCCTGGATCAAATGATTGTTTGGGCCTGGAGGTGCCTGTGATCCGCCGCAACCTTGCGTGGGCGCCTGCGTTGGGGCAGAGAAACACCGCTTTGTGGTTCACTGTCTGCGAGCGTTCTTCGGATTCTTGGGGCACCATTCTCTGATGAGCGATAGTCCTATTGCGCATTGTTGCATGACTCTCCGTGTGCGCACCATATGATCGTCTTTGGTTGCTCAGAGGCATGGTGTTGTTGGGGAGGGGCCCGCCCAGTGCTTTCCATTTTGCCTGCAGCAACGGCTCCGTAGCTGTGTTGTTTGCTGAGCGGAATCTGTCCTTTGTGCAGCTGGACCGCAAGACTGTCACGTTGCACTGCCTGTCGCCAGCAAACCTGGTGACCGTTAATGGGGCGCCAGTGGCCAAGGACAGCAAGGCAAGTGGTGAAGACACATATTCCCCTGGAGGGATCCTCGTCAGAGACCTGTTGCCTGGTTATGCATAACACCATGCACACCATATGTCTTGCTGTGTTTGATGTTTGGGGCGAACATTGCACAGCACCCAGATTGTCCTTTCCGGCAAACAGTGCTTGAAAGTTGTTGGTGTGGAGCTTGCCAAACCTCCACACACATGCACATATTAGCTGTTGTTGTTATTTGATCAGAATTGAGGTAGTTGCGAAACTGTAGAATGGTGGGCCGCAACCACGTCCTCACAAGCCGAACACAAGTACACTCCATTGCATGCCCAACTCAAGGCTTGCCTGGAAGTCAAAATAGCCTTGCATGCAAGAGAAGAAAGGAAAGATAGGAAAACTAGCAGAAATGCGCAAGAGCTGCAACCCTGTCATTCTTGATTATGACATTAATGGAATGCTGTACACTTTCCAATGCTTATTGGCTTCCCTGCGTGGACAAGAAATAAGCAACCCAGACACATATCCTGGTGCAGATGTGTCCATTTTACAAACTGCCTCTTCTCTCCGTGCCAAGTTCATCAACAGACACTTAGTTTTTCAAGCACACTTTCACTGGCTTTACAAAATGATGTCCATCTTGCAGTCCCTTTTTCTCACAGGCTTTTTGTGAACAAATCCTGTTGTTGTTACGATAGCTGGCCATTGTTTTATGCTCTTGGGGGTTGGAATGTAGCGAAATGCGTGGTTAATGACAGCTTGGCACACATCCTGTAGCCCCCAAAGGCAGCATCGAATGACTTGTTGCAGATTGTGAAGATTGCATGTGAAGACACAACAGAAACAAAACAAGTTGCCAGTGAACTCACGCCACAGGATCGAACTTGTGCACATGGATGAACAGGCAGGTTTGAATGAGCTGTGCTCTGTGGCCCAGTCTCCCCCTTTCTTCATTGCAGGACAGTCAGGAAATGGATGTGCATGACTGTGGCTGCAGATGCAGGTTCGTGGGGGTGATGAGATCAATATCATGGGCACCAACCAGTATTCGTACATCTTCCAGCGCTGCGAGTCACCAGTTTCTACGGCCATGGCTCCTGTGCCTCCTGCAGCTGTCCAGGTGGCGGGCACTGCTGTGGGAACTCCTGTTGCCAATGCCAGGTGCAGACTTCTCTCCCACATGTACATTGAATTGGTGTCTTCAGCTTTAGATTCCCAATAGTTTGCTTCCCTAGTGCTGTTGTTTCACCTCTTGTGTCTTTCATGCCACTGAATATGGGCATTTGGCCAGCTGCCATGCGCAGCCTTGCACTGTGAATGCTTGACTGTATGGGGTTGTGTCCAATCACTACAAAGGTGACCTACCAGCCACAGAAAGCTTTCTAGCACACACAAGATTGAACACAGCACTGCCAGCCGCTTCCGTGTCATTGCAACCATGTCAGAACTTGGTCCAGCTTCAAAGCTTGTAAATCACCCGAATTGGGCCCAATAGCTGCATGGGGGTATTTCGTCATTCTCAGCAAGCAGGTGATTTGAGTGGAGATCCAAAGAGTTAGCCAATGTTGCTGTTTCGCATGTTCCAACCTGTGATGAAATCTGCTGCGACATCCCCACATGGTGCTGGGAGACAATTCTTCCAAGGGCATTGCTTGTTTCAAAAGTATTTTCTGATATGTCACGCAACCCAACTGCCTGCTGAACAGTAGAAGCATGCCAGCTTGGCTAGGATGAGCTCGGTCGTCTCTGGAACACCCTCCCCGGTGCTTCCATGGCATTTTGTACCCTTGACTACTGTGTATTAACTAATGGGATGGCATGTGCTGAGTAGCAGGCAAAGCACTGCCAATGCTGGGCATAATTGTGCACATTGGATGTCCAGATTGCTATCACCCCCACTGAAAACTGCTGTGTGGTTGCATTTGCTGGCCAGGCTGTGCGATGGTGAGCTGGATGGCCCCGTTGGCCTCCCACTTTCAGCAGCTGCACCAGATGTCAACCTGGTGGACGGTCGCGATGCTGCGGCAGTTTCTTTGGACCCAGAGTGTGCAGACGTGTCACAAACCGATGGACTCCCACAGCCTGGCCTTGCAGGTACATCTGTTGCCTTGCTACGTGTGATTGCAAATATATCATCGCATTGAAGAGACCAATTACGAGTGTGTCTAGTAACGTTGCTGCTAGCAAGATAGAGGATATCATCTACACAGGAGAGCACTGTGTCTCTGTGTGCTTGCAGATCATGGCGCATGCATGATATATGTGTTCACCACCTGGAAAATTGTCCCCTGAATGCAAGCATGCCTGTTGAATGGACAGCTGCTAACACACTAACGGTGTCTTTCTTTTCCAGAGTGTTACAACATGTAGGAGAACAATAAGAACAGTTGGCCCCTATGCTGACAGTGTTGTAGTTTTACTTCCATGCAGAGCACCTTCAAAGGTCTGAAAGTGATAATCACAAGAGTTGTTGTTGTGGAAGGAGCTCAGGGTAATTGCTTGACGCGTACTGTTCTGTTGCAAAGAAATCTTTAGCACATGTGTATTGTGGTAGACATGCATCGCACTCTTGTGGCGTACTTCCACATCTGTTCTTACTGCCATGGACAGGGCAGACACCTGTCGCAATAAGATAACGCGATGCGCTGCAAGCTCTTGTCATAGAATTCCAGGCTGGCTTTGGCTTGTGATGCTTTGGTTTGTTGGGGATTAAGGTACATAAACACCAAACACCACAATGGCAGAGACATGACTTTCAAAGAACAGGCACTTTCAGATGAACCTCCACTGAACGCTTGTTGGATGGCAAGATAGCACTGTTGCATGCCGTTGCACTATTTTTTGGATAGCGAACAGACCTTGCAAGGTTTACTGATTTGCAGGTCTTCTAGTAGGGGAGAGGGAAGGAACAGAGGTCGATGACGATCCGCAACCCCACGTGGGCACCCCGCACCAGATGTTGGCACCCTCGACCATATCGCCATCCTCCCCACACCTCCTTGTAGGCCACCGTGTGGTGCTGAAGCCCAACCAGCGTCCATTGTATCCGAAAGCCAGCAGAGTGGCCGGTGACGTCCAGAGGAGAAGCCAGGCAGCCCAAGAAGATCAGCCAGTCAAGGAGGAAGGTGGGTGCTTAGAGGCTTGCTTCCTTGCAATCTTTGTTCAGATATGCCACTGTTCCTTGGGCGTTGCTGGGGAGGCTGTGGAGTTTCTATCCAGTGGCTGCCTGCATGTGCACAGACCTCGTTTCTTGCTATGCTCCATGCCGATGCCATCGCCACAAGATACTTTCATCTTCCAGGTTTCTCTTGTCGATGTAGTGCAGGGCGGTGCAGGCTGCTTGTTCTTCGCTCCTTTGGGGTGCGATGTTTGGAAGATGCCTTTGACCTCAGACAGGCAAATTCATCTGCACATGGATGTCGACTCTGCCAATTCGCTTTGGATGGGGTTGCAACACTGCCTTCTTTGCTTTTTCGTGGATTTGTGGGTTGTGTCACAGATGATGCAGTAGTGTGCGAGCAAACTGCACCAGCTCTCTGCATGTAACCTGCCATGTACCCCAGTGCCGTCTGACGATCTCCAGGTTTGTCATGGCTAATTATCCCCAGTCTCCAGGCAAGAGCAACCAGGCAGTGGTATCAAGCACCATCTGTGTGCCCCACAGGTGCCACAGGCACTCTCCTTATCAAGTTGTGTCGCACCAGTATTGACACCAGCAGAAGCACACAACGTGCAATTGCTGGTGCTGAAATTAGCACCGGGTACAGCTGTCTTTTGGCCTTCATCAGACAGTGTCTCTACCACAATGAGCACAAGTACTGCCACAGCACTAAGCACAGTTATCTTTTGGCCTTCCGTCAGGCCAAGCCGCGGTGGGCGTGGAAGCGCCCTCCGGCGAGGCGTGCATGGTGAAAGAACCGACGTTCCTTAAACCATTGCAGTCTGTGACGAGCCCTGGTGAATTGGGGGATGGGGGAGCCCCGGACCATGTGCCTGTGGCTGCAAGAGATCGAAAAGGTACAGCTTGCCACAAGTCTGCAATGCACAAATGCCCTGTTTGCACAGCAGGATCGACAACATGGCATCTTGATGAGGTCACAGTTAAGTTCCAAAGTCGGCCAAAATGACACAATTGTGCCCTGATTGGGTCTGATATAGCTGCAGTTCACAATTGTGCCTTGAAATTGCCTCGATTCCATGCCAACGAAAACCATGGGTTTCCAGCATAAGTCTGTGCTTATGTGGTGGATTGCAAGTCCTGAAATTGCACTTGGTTGGATGTTGACTCTCTAGGCGAGCCTCCGCCACTGGGTGGCCCACCCCAGAAATGGCCCTCTGAGGATGCAAAGGCAGGCCGCCTGCTGGAGGGGCTCCGGGAGGACTTCCACCAGATGGTTGTGGACCCAGATAACCTGGGCATGAGCTTTGACGACCTGCCCTACCCCATCGGCAAAGGCCTCAAGGATCGCCTGCTGTACACTGCCTTCTTGCATGTCAAGCGGCAGGTCTACACATCCTTCGTATCGGAGCTGCCCAGCATGTCACCGCGGATACTGCTCAGTGGGCCGTATGGCTCAAGCAGGTACATGGATGCCCATCGATTGATCAGAATTATTTGGCAGAATAGTTGATGGTCCAAATAGGCCATCAGTTGGACAGTGGTCAGACATCCTGTTAAGGATTCTTTATGTTGTGAAGATATGGTGGATGATCATGAGCGGTCACGTCACTGACAGCTGCTGACAATCAATCACTGACGGTCAAAGACTATCTCCGATGGTCACTGACGGTCGCTGATGGTTGGTTGTGAGTGATGGAAAGGCAAGTGGAGATTGACAAGACTGTACATCTTGGGACACTGTTTGTCACTGCCCTTTTCAGCCAATTAGCGATGCCACTGGCTTTCCGGTTCATAAGTGGTGCTTCCACTGTGCTGCTTGCTGCTTCCACCATGCTGCTTGCTCTCATCTTGTGCAGGTGTCAGGAGGCTATCGTGAGGGCCCTGGCACATGAGGTTGGGTCCAAGGTGGTGGCGTATGACAGAGCATTGTTGGGACTCGAGTGCGAGCCCTGGGATGAGACGGGAGAAGAAGCAGGTGTGAGCCAGTTAGTCATGTGTAGGCAGGTGCACAACATTGATATTGATAGTTGGATGCATGCGCTTGCTGTTCAATAGTGCCTTGTTCGCATTCGTCCTGCAGAGTGCGTTTGTGGTGGTGGAAGAAACAGCCGATTGTGGTTGGGTAATCGTTTATCTAGATGTCTTTCCTTCGTCATCAGTTTCAGCATGACATCCTGAGGTACTGAATGGATCCAGTTCAGCTTCTTTACGTGCTTGAAGTAAATTTGACACGAATTGAAATGAAGCAACTACTCCTTATTTGTCTAAAATTTTGTTGGAATTTGAATTTGAATGTATGGCAGGTGTCACACAGCAATGCGCTGAGTCAGAACTTCCTGCTGTGGCCATGTGGCACCACATTGTCCACCTCTTCCTTCCTCGTTATTGATGCTGACAGAGAAACGGAAAAAGTCTGAGTGGCATGGGGTAGCACTGCCAAAGTTACTGAAGCTGGATGGCACCACATATGTTTGAAGCACTGGTGGTGTGCTTGCAGGTGGGGCAGGTGCTGCCGATGATGCTGATGACATCGATTTCCTGGATGATTTGGATGGAAAAACGCTGGGGGGCTCCTCATCAGAGGTATGATGAGCAGTCTAGATGGGATGGTAAAAGGACATCTCAACATTAAATTCATTAGGATTTGCTGATCATGAAATTCAAGAAGCTCTGCTTGGAAATTGGAAGTGTGGTGGCACTCCTTGATACACCCAGATTTGCCAGATCAGCCTGGCAAGAATATCCATGAAGTCCATCTTCCTGGGTGCAGGTGTGCCAGCTATATGCGCAATGCAGTTCTTTACCTCTCTGCCCCCCTTCCACAGCGAAATTCCTGAACCCTTCACTCTTGACCGTAATCCAATTTTATGGAAGCAAAAGAAACTTTGACACACATCGCCTCTGTACCTGTTCACTGCCAGCAGCAAAAAAAAGAAAACATTAAGCGCACGCACTCTGCAATATGACACAGTGGGCATGTCACATGCCAGTGTCATGTGACATGCCAGTGTCATGTGACATGCCAGTGTCATGTGACATGCCAGTGTCATGTGACAATCGATTGAACGTATCGGTTGCTTGCGCTTGCATGTTTCTGTCGTTTCTGCATTTCTGAGCATTTCAATGGTCACAACTAGCCAGTTTACTTGCACACAGGCAATACCAGGCCCACAGGAAAGGAATATTTCCAGCTCATGTTCAGTCTGTCAACTGCAAGCTTTGCCTTCCAGCCATTTGCCCTTGAGAAGACCAGTACCTCTGGACCACATGTTACCAGCCTGCCATCAATGTTTTGAGAGTGCTACGTGTCAGTGAAGTGAGCGACAGAGGCGAATCAGCCTCAGTTTCATTGCTGACACGGGACTATGGGATACCCCATCAGAACATGAGCCTGTTGGCAGTGGCAAATTTGCCAACTTCTGCAAGTAGGGAGGAAAGAAATGGGATTGCTGTAATTCAGCCTCATCGTCAAGTTTCAGAGTTCTAGTTTGTCGCAACACTGGAAACGCCCACATTGCCATGCCCCACCCAGCAGGCAACTTACTGGGAACACAACCATTTTCTTGAGGCCTAGTTGTAGGAAGAACAGTCCCCCTTGAGGCCCTGCAGAGGCTTTTGTGCGGAGGTTATCAAGACATTCGCGCAGTCGTATGGACTGCTGGGCAACCCAGGTGTCAGTGACACTGGCCCAAATTCCCCCCCAATGTCCTGCAGCTTGGAGTGACCAGTGGCTTTCTGTTAGCAGCATACCCAGAAGTGTGCTTGGGTGAGCTTTGCATCATCCTATTGTTGGTATTCTGCACGCTGGTTGCCATAATTGACTGTAACACACAGAGCAACTGAAGTGGATATGTTGTAGTGGTGAAAACCACTTCTTCACCAACATCGTGTGGTCATTGTGATGTTTGTGAACATGCCAGTGGCATGTTTGTGGCATGCCATTGGCAGTCCAATGATGCTGTGCTGCTGTGCCTTTCGCACAGGCACTGTCTGTGCGACACCACCCCGCTGCGGGAGGCAACTCTTCTGTGGGCCACCGCAAGCGGATACGGGGTGGGATGGGGGGATACGCAACGTCCACTGCCCCGATCGGGCATGCAGGCACGAAAGAAAAGGGCAAGGGGAAGTCGTCTCTCAAGATATTCAAGAAAGGCGACAGGTGGGGCTGCACGGTTGTGTGCACTGTAGTGGATTGGAATGAATTGATACTCCTTGAATGCAAGGAGTATCAATTCACTTCAATCCACGGTGTCAGCATTTTCAGCGCAATAGCAAAGTGGCTCATCCTTGAATGACCCGACAGCGTATCAGAGCCATACTATGTGGTGAGTTGTTTGTTCAGAATCTCAAAATACCAATGGGCAGCTGTACAGAATGGAATGTCATTAGCAAATCCCCAGTCTAAAGACACTGTTAGTAGCTCATCCAGGCTGAAAACTATTGTGAGCCCCAGGAGGACTTCGTCAATCCATCAAGACGCTGTCGCTCTGTACTGAGGAACGTCACCATCCAAACCGACTGCTGCATAATATGGAAGGCTGTTTGCCTGGGTATGGTTGTAGTTTGACTGGCTTTGTGTTGCTCCAAGAATGGACGTAAATGCAATGAAAGAGCCAGTAACCCATGAAACTGCGCTGCACTGAATTAATGTTGCCTATTGTTTGTTATGGCACTATTTGTACTATTAGTACTGCCTGTACTATTAGTACTATTACTACTATTAGTGCTATTAATGCCATTAGTATCATTAGTACTATTAGTACGATTAGCGCTATTAGTACTATTCGTACTATTGGTACTATGTGTTGAGGTGTGTAATTGAACATTATTTCAGTCTATTGGCAACAAATGTACTCCACTGTATTGACAGCATCTTTTGCCATCAGTTTCTGTAGATTTGGTGCAGCTTGAATAGCTGTCAGGTTGCAGGCAAGGGCTTCGAAATGACACTTAAGTGTTTTCGGTGCATCAAGCTTGTCCTTTTAACAAGATTGATTCAAAGAATTCCTTCCCCCCTGCCCTATCTCAGTGGTCTTTTCAAAACTTGCAAGGTGATGTGGAAGTCTTCACTTTCAACAAGAGCAGTGCAGTTCACAGGCAATTTTAAAGTCAGAGTTGTCTGGAGGTACCAAGATTGTGTTGGAAAATCCACAGGGTGGTGTACACGGGAGCTGGCAGCCATGCACAGCCATTGGGTGTGGGCCTGCGCAGCGGCAGCAGCCATTCAGCCCACCTTGTGGGCTTCTCCCAGTCTGTGCAGGGCTACCTTTGCAACCCTGGCATCATCAGCCGCAGTGGGCGAGACCATGGGGCCACCAACACGAACCGTGGCCCCTGGTATGGCTGCCCTGGCAAGGTTGTGCTGGTCTGGAAGGAAAACCCCAAGAAAGTGGGTGTGTGCTTCGATTACGTCGTGCCTGGGGGTATTGACCTGGGCCGGCTGTGTGAGGAGGGACACGGGTTCTTCTGCTCACCGCAGGACCTGAAACTGGAGGGCAGCGGGAGGGCCCAGGAGCAGGAGGCGCTGGTGATCGACGCGCTGTTTGATGTGGTCGGAGAACTCAGCACAAAGGGCCCAGTGACTTTGATGCTCAAGGTGGGACAGTAGGGACTGATGGAGGGAGGTTGGTTTGTGAGTTTGGGTGTGGTCTGTGGCTGAGATGGATGTGGGGAAACGGCAGAGGAAATGTTGCGATCGTGTTGTTGGTGCACACTTGTGGGGACTGGGCTGCCAGCACAGCACCTCACTGTGGCTTCACAGATGATATGCATCGCAAGGACGATGCTTTGTTTGGCAAGGACAGCAGCATCCTCTGCAGGATTCAGTTGGAATCTGTCCCTTCAGTCAGTTTGATCAGTGTTGAATGCAGTCAAAATCCTGCAATGCATTCCATGACAGGTTTCCCATCCTCTGTTGTTTGAGAGCTTGGTTTGTCATTGATGCATCAGGATGTGGAGAAGTCCGTTGCAGGGTCGAGTGAGAGGTGCAGCCATTTCAAAAGGCGCTTGGACGCCTTGCGTGGGCCCGTCCTGGTGGTTGGACTGCACACCGCAGATGCTCGGAGGGACCGGCCCCAGGGGGGCCTGTTCTCACGACTGGGCCCCTCCCCCGGGGCGCTACTGGAGCTGGGGTTTCTGGACAGCCTGCGTTGGGAGGACAAGGCCATTCAACGATCAGAGTCCTCAAAGGTGTGATGGGGTGTCAGTGTTGTCTTTCCTTGTTGTACTTCAAAACAGTTCAACACACGACAGAGATCAGGCAGCATTTTGAACTGGTGTAAAACCACAATCTTGCAGTTTCTGTCATTTTTCATTCCGGGATACCGCATGAACTTTGAGTGTGTGGATGCTGCTCTTGTCCTAGCATAACAGATGAGGGACTTGTGCCACCTCAAACAGTAAGTGCAAGCCGATTTGAAGCTCGAAAGAGTTGTTTGTATCAAAGTGATTACTCCATCTACTGAAAGAGAAGTTCACCACTCCTAGGAGACCCAGGTTGTTGCTGATGTTTGTTTGGTTCCAAAGGTTGCGTCGATTTGCTGGTTGTTGTTGATAGTGTTGCTATAAAAAAGTAGCTGTGTGCCCTGACCCAGTGTTTTTGAAAACACGTATCTGTTCACAATTGTGATAAATGAGCGAATGCATCCTGACAGGCAACACTATCGATGACAAACACTCAATGGCACATATCTCCATTAAAATCAAAGTGCCATACTGCTAAGTTTGTGAGGGGGTTGCTAAGTGTATCCAATGTTTCTTTTTCATTGCCAGTGAATCAAAACACCCGGGCAAATAATCATGACAGCCCTCACTCTGCAGTGAGAAAAACCCCTTCTGCATGCACTGAAATTTGTGTTTTGTAGAAACTTGCGCAAGAGGGTTGCTCATTGTGCATCTCATCTGTTTGTCATTGTCAAAGGATTAACAAAGAATCAGTGGCAAAGAATTAACAAAGAACCAGTAACGAAGAATTAACAAAGACACAGTGACCCAGTCATCAGCCCAAGGCCCTCTAGAAACTGCAATCACGGTGTGCTGTGGCACATATCGGTAGTGTTGCCAAGAGGTTTTGTCTGACCTGTTGTGCTGCCATGCCAGACAATGAAGCTCCTCTCTCGCTTGCTGCCCAACCGTTGCACCCTCCACGCACCATCCACAGAAGGTGCACTGGCTGGCTGGAAAAAGCTCATCGAGCATGATGTTAATCTGATGCGTGAAGACTCCAACCGCCAGAAGATTGCAGCAATCCTGTCTCGGTGCACCGTGGAGTGCCCTGAGCTTGACTTGGTCGTCATCCGGGACACGTCGCTCCGACAGGTGTGGCCACCCATCGTTGCCTAAGTTTTGTGTGAGGTTTGTGGAGTGCTTTACGCTGTTTGATTGTTTTTTAAACCTGAAGTGTAGCCTAAAGTTGCTAGCTCGCGATTAGCTTGCAGGTTTCAGCTATGGGCCTTATGCTGCTATTGCGTCTGCACTCAGACCACTCCGGACACCCTTTTGGCATTGAGCTGTAAGGTGCAGAATGATGGTTTGCAGTTGTAGAATTGCATGTGCGTTGCAAACACAGTCTATTCAGATTGCTTCTTAGGACTGAGACAGTGGATTTGGCCAAACAGGACAATGCGGAACGGCTGGTAGGGCTGGCAGTAGCGCACTCGCTGAAGAAAAACGAGGAGCCTGAGCTGCAGGGAGGGCGGCTTGTGCTGCGAGCAGAGGACTTCCAGGCTGCGGCAGAAGTGTATCGCAACCTGCAGACAGAGATGATGCCATCGAGGCTGGGCCTAAAGGAGGTTGTGACGGATAATGAGTATGAGAGGAGGCTGTTGGGCGAAGTGGTTCCTCCTGAGGAGGTGCGCCCATTGCAAGGGTTCAGATGCTGTCATTGCTTGTGGCTGTTGCTGTTGCTATGGCTTTTTTTCTTTTAGTTGTAGGTATTCAATTGTTTTGCTGTTGCTATTACCATTTTTTTTCCCTGTGCTGGTTTAGTTTGAGGAGGCAGTATGGATTTCCATCGTAAAGGAAGAGGTGCAGTTTTCTGTCGCCTTGCAAGAGAGTGCAAGGCGATGTGTGGCCTCAAAAGACTGATCATATGATAGTGAGTGCACTATCTATGAATTGATGTCCACCAGGGGGCAGTCTGGGCCCTAATAGATCAGATGTCAGAGAGACTTAAACTGTTCCTCGTTCCAATTGTCTGAACCAAGAATTGTTGTTGTTGTTGTTGTTAGATGGCATGCTTGGGATATCAGCACCAGGCAGTGTTATATCTCTTGTGTACTTGTGAATCTCCTAGTAGGTCCGCAAACCCAGTAACCCACCTTGTGGGTATTGCTGCTGTGGCACTGTGGGAAGTGCATGATATTGCTGTGTAGCGGGGACATTTCCCCTTCAAGGGGTGATACTTGCGTCACTCCCTCTCGTACGCACCACTCCTTCAACTCCTTGGATTGTGTTGCCTTGCACACATCGGAACACAAGATCGAAGGTGCCCCATGCATTTGCGCCCACCTTTTTAGCCCTCTCACAATGTCTGCCCCTCCCGCACCCGTCACTGCCCACGCTCCCGCACGCCTGGTCAACATGTCCACTATGACAAGAACAAATCGCTTCTGGGCAGCACGGACCAGATAGCTGTGACGGAAACAGGGTTTGTTGAGGAGTCAAAAGTTCTTTCTTGGAATGTATGTGCGGACAATTCCTGCACCAGTGCAAATGCATGCGCCCATAACGATTTTGCCGGCATCATTATTCTTGCCAAAATGTGCTTGGCGACTCGTGGACAAGGTGGCTTGGAAATCCACCTTGACTGTAAATATTCTCTGGGTAAACTGCGCATCTGTCCTTCGAATGGTTCTTGCCACAACTTCAGTTGCAGTGTGTGTTTGTTCCTGCTTGCTGCTTGTTGCTCCATTTGCTGGCACCAAGGACGAACGTCCAAAGAGAGAAGTGTGGAGACCCCTCCACACTAATGCAGTCTGCTGAAGAACGGTTGTGCCCCTTCAGAGATTCCAGAAAAACTGAAAAGGAGAAATAGAGTTTGGAACCCACAGCAAATAGAATCCTTACAGCGATGTTGCTTTTGACTGTTGTGCAGGTTGGTGTTGGCTTTGATGACATAGGGGCACTGGAGAGTGTGAAGAGGACCCTGAAGGAGGTGGTGATGCTGCCGCTGCAGCGGCCGGAGCTGTTTGCGCGTGGCCAGCTGCTCAAGCCAACAAAGGGCGTCCTCCTCTTTGGACCACCTGGGACGGGGAAGACCATGCTTGCCAAGGCAGTGGCAGCAGAATCAGGTAGGTTGCATCCCATTCTCCTTCGATTTGCATTGGTTGAAATGTGCAAGAGTACTGCATTGTCTTTTGAGGCCTCATTCAAACACCACGAGGGGCAGCCTTGTGTCTTTCATGGAACTCCGCAGTTTTTTTGCCCTGTTGTTGTTTCTGAACCAGGAACGTCAGGTATCCAGAGTATTTCCCCTACAAGCAGTGTCATCTTGTCGGAAAAGAAGCACAGTGGGAAGTGTGCACCCTTGCAGTGGTGGAATTGTTGTGTTAGACCCCTGTCCATGCAGCAGCAGTCGATGTAGCAAACCCTCTGATTGTGACGGCAACAGCACACAACATAGAGCAGCATGAAGGTCACAAAATGTATTGCTGTTGGGTGAGCCCCAGGAGCAGATTGTTCACTGTATTGTGCTGTATGTTTGTACCTCAATTACCCAATCGCACACCGATTGAGGATGGAGAAGCATATTCCTGCTGACCAGGTATTGAAAGGGCTGGGCATGCTGCAATGTAAGGGGTACCACTCTGCTGGATCCTGGCATTGTTTCTTGTAGTTTGGATCAATGCAATCAACTAAATATTGATAATGATGAAAAACTAACGATCACAGTAATATGTGGTAGTATGCAATGTAGGGTAAATGCATGAACACAAGCTCTGGGGCTTAGCACATGGCAGATTTTCTCGATTTGCCTAATAGAACAAAGAGACAAATTCGATTTACATTGATGGTTGATCTGCAGGCCCCCCCCACCCCGTAGTGCTGAACTTCTCATTTTTGAGTCTGAGCATTCTTTGGATTCAAATGCCTTATGAGCCCTGCACAGCCTTGCACTATTGCTAGGTGGCACAGGGCCTGCACAACTTGTCATAGGACAGGGGAGGCACCTGGACACTGAAAATGTGATGTAATATTTTGTAATCCAAAAAAGAAGTTTACAGGCTTAAAGGTGATTTGAATCAATGTGTTGTGTTTTGGTTGCAGGTGCAAACTTCATCAATGTGAGCGTGGCCACTGTAGCCTCCAAATGGTTTGGAGAGGGTGAGAAATATGTGCGGGCGCTGTTCTCCCTTGCTCACAAGATTGCCCCAAGCGTGATCTTCATAGATGAAGTAGACTCCTTGTTGGGGCGGCGGGACAAGAATGGTGAGCACGAGGCAATGCGGAAGATCAAGAATGAGTTTATGGCTGGCTGGGATGGATTGAAGACCAAGGAGAGCGACAGGTAGGTGAAATTGAATGTGCCATGCTGTGTCCCTGATGGACTGCACACATCCACCAGGCGACCAGCGCTGCACCGTACACAGGACTCCAGGACTCGATCTTGTGCAGGATGGATCGGGTGACGCCCGATAATCAGTCATTGCACAGCAGGAAAGGGAGATACTGGGAAGCAGCCACGGCACACCGCATCCAGGCATCCAGACAAGCATTTTGTGTAACTGTGCTCAGCAGTGTAGTCCTGAGTCATGTATGCGGGGATGTATGTGCACTGCATATGCACTGCAATTCATCTTCCATCGACAAAACCGATGGCACCACTCTCAGTGCTGTGTAGCACCTAAAAGGGGATGCCGAGTGTGCAGGGTGCTCGTCTTGGCTGCCACCAATCGCCCAATGGACCTGGACGAGGCCGTGATCCGCAGAATGCCGCGCCGCCTGCTTGTGGACCTCCCCAACCGGGACAACCGCGTGAAGATCCTCAGCGTCATCCTTCGCGAAGAGGAGCTGGAATCTCGCTTCAGCTTCGACGAGCTGGCCACGATGACGGAGGGCTACTCCGGAAGCGACCTGAAGAACATGTGCCTGGCAGCAGCGTTCCAGCCGGTGCGGATGTCCTCCTTTTCGGAAAACCCACAGTAGCGCGAGAACCACCTGCACACCAGCATTCGCTCAGCACAGCTGACTCAGTGTTTAAGAGTTGTATGCTTATCCGCTGGCTTGACAGTTTGTGTGCTAGTCGACTGCTGGGGCACCGCTGTTGACTTGCAGCTTTCATCAGAGGGCCTATGGCAGAGATCCAGGTTTTAAGGGCCTTTCGCCTATTTGACGAATTGGGCTTCAGTCAGTGTACAGGGCAGATATGTTTTGTGTGGTAGTGCCTTGATGTATGCAGTCAGTGCTGACAACTGTCAGAATTTGATTCATTGGCTGCCAGAGTCAAGAAAGGATAGTAATGGTCGTGGGAGGGGGGAGCGGGACGAATCGTAGGCACTGTGGTGTCCTTCACTGAAAGGCAATACATCACCAGTCGCATTGTCTACTGGTGTGTGTGCTGTCTCGTGTTCATGTAGCCTATGAAAAGGCATGTTTACTGTATGTTTGGTGAAAAGGTATGTTTATTTTGTATTTGTTGCATTGTTGATGCATGATGGTTGGGGCAGATCTTTCAGCTTTGGACTGCAGACGTTTCATATCACCAAACACCTTTATGGCTTTGCAACCCCCTCTGTACCTCGGTACCGCACCTGACACGCAGCCCGATGCCACACCACGGTTCATTGTGAATCGGAACTTCACATCCATGCCACTTTTATACCTTCTGTGGTCCTCTGTCAGGTGCGGGACCACCTGGCGAAGGAGAAGGACGGGCAGGTGGATGGTGCCAGAGACGGGAAAGAGGCTGCCGCGGCTGACAAGTCGGCAGGGCCATCCACATCCCAACAGGCAGCTGACGACGCCATGGAGGAGGCAGAGGAGCGTAGGGCGGTTGAGAGCAGTGGCGAGGACAACAGGGGGATGGTGGCCGAGTCCAGCGTGCCGAGGGGGGGTGAGGCAGGACAGGCAACAGTTCTGGCATTGAAGCCATCGGCGTCGGGGGGCGCCCGGGACGATGCCGTCGCTGAGGGGCGGCAGCCGGCAGTGAAGTTGCGGTCGATCACCATGGGAGACTTCAGGGCGGCAATGAAGGAGGTGGGGGGCTTTTGACTGTTGTTGATTCGTGTTGAGGATTGATTGGTTGGCGATGGCTTTGCGAGTCATGGGACTGTGAGTGCTTGGCAGTTATCTGTTCAGCCAGGAACCCTGATGCCAGATCTGCCTGGGCAGTGAGTGGATCAAGTTCACAATACATGTAATGGCAGTGCATAATTATTGTAATGCTGATGGATTATTGTTGTACTTGTAGTGGTGATAATGGCAATGATAATGAGATTGTGATGAAGATGAAAATAGTTAGTATCAATAGCATTAACACTGTTGAAAGTACTAGTAATGTTGTCTTCGTTGATGAACAAAGCTGAAAATGGTTGTTGTGATTTTCGCTCCAAGTACACTTGCTTTGAAAGGCCAGTGCCGTGACTGCTGGAGATATCGTGCGACTCCCGAATACCCACCCAATGGCGTTTTGTGCTCATCGTGGACAGGTTGGCTCCAGCGTGTCTGCCGACGCCATCAACATGACAGAGCTGCGGCAGTGGAACGAGATGTACGGGGAGGGCGGCAGCCGGCGAGAGACCTCTTTGCCATACTTCCTTTAGGCCAGGTTGCCTCAAGGGTATGCATGGAGCGGAGTTCGGCCGGGGCTGGGGGCTGGGGACGGCAGTGCTGGACGTGGGGAAGGGGGATTCATTTGCAAATTCTTTTCATAGCGTCTCGCTGTTGTGGACCCTTGTGTCATGCGCAGGGCTTGGCATCCTCCTTGTGGCGTGCTGTGAATTGGCGGGTGATCGACCCGTCATTTGGGGTGTTTTTTGGCCTTGTGTGTTTTCCAACCATAGCGATGGTGCCATCGTTGTGGCATGCCTGCAGCATGTGCGAGAAAAGCTTGGGTTTGGAATGTATGTGTGGCCATGCAGGTGTAGAGAAAAGTCTTCCTGATGGTGATCGGAGTGAACTGTCACTGCCGGCAGCTGCTGGGATGGTTTCCTTGGGGCACGAATCTGAACTAATAGTGGCACGAACGTGCCTGGAAGGCGCCCGGAAGCTGGTGCACAGGTAGAAGGTGACTCGAACGTGGCTTATGGTATGTCTGGAGGTGACCTCAAGGATTGCATGGAGCCGGGCAGCATTTGCTTGGCCCGGCTCTGCAACTGATGCACGACGAACTGTGAGGTGGTTTTGTGTGTGCATGACGCGGGGCGCAGAGGGACGTGGAACACCGAGATATAGGCGTTAAAATTTGTAGGCATGGGGAGGTCTGTAACGTGGAGACAATTATATCGGTGTGGCACCTGGGGGTTTGTCTGCCATTGGATGCTTTTCGAGCGGCTGCCTTTCCAAAGCACTCGTTCAGGTCTGCACTTCAGACTCTGCAACAACTGGGGCCGGACATTCCAGAGCCACCAGAATAATCCTCACAGATCGCGTCGCTCTCGCCTGAAACTTCAATCAATCAGTCCACCATCCCAAGTCCGCAACCAAACCGCGTTACAGTGTTCGAGCTTTCCCCGAAAGAGGGTTCTGTAAAATTTGTGGCTTTGTGCCAAACCACTCTGGGGTCTTCCTGGCGGGATTTGTGTATGGGCCGATGACGCGTTTATCGTCATGAGGGCCCAGGAGTAATGCCGTGCAATCACAGGTCCTGTCACAGACAAAGCAAAGGTCATCGCAGATGTTGATTGGTTTTAAATCCGAGCCTTGAGAAATGAAAGCATCAAAAATATCCATCGGTACCCTTGAGACAAGACGGCCAGCAAAGCAGACTTGGCTGGATGACCAAGGGTGGTGGCGACACCATGGAGGAGAACTTTCCAGCTCCAGAACGCAGCACGTAAAGAACAATGCGATAAAAGGTGCAACACAATGCATTTGGTGACGTGCAGTGACGAACACTGGGTATTGTTTCGTCGTTGCTGCATTGTCGCCGCCGGTCCTTGTGTTCCTTCTGGGTTCTCAGCATCCTACCTTGTATGTGCCGCAACGCAGCGGCAGCTTCCGGGTCAATGCAAACTGAATTTGCGGCCAGAACTCCTATCTGTGCCGTCCCTCCGTTGCACAGTGCAAGGTGCAACAATTCTTGCTGTCTTTACCGCGTTTTAGGTGGAAGACGTATCTCACACCTCGTTGGAAAAGTTGCATATCCTAGGATTTGGAAACGCCCATATCCAGAATGTCGAATACGATATGGGAGGATATGTGTATCCTGAATATCGGCGGCCATATACCAGGCTATGGCCATATTCTGGACATGTTTATCCAGGATATGCAACTTCTTTCCGACGCTGTCCTGAAGAAAGCCACCTGTAAAGTGCAAAAGTTTCTAGTTCGGATCCTTTCTCAAGCCAAAAGCACTGGAGTGTTTCCGGAACCGGAGGGCAATGCACAGTTGCGTTAGGAAAAAAGGGCCAAACAACAATTTTGCGAACACACACAAAACACATGTCATCAGAGTTCTGCACGCTGACAGCACAAAAATAACACAAACCCGTAAACTTTGTACACGTTTGAACACGTGCTGTTTGGCCCTTTTTCCCTAGTGTTGAGGAATTGCAGCTTGCGAGCATGAGCGCTGGAAAACTGGGAAAGTGAGACTTTCCTGAATGACCACATCTACTTACATCTGCGCTGCACGGTGTCCTGCGAGTTTCTGTAGTGTGATTGCACAACCTAATGTCAAATGATGTTTTGCATGCAATCCATGATGTGGAAAGACCATTTACCAAAACCCATATTCGTTAAAAAATTCATTTGCATTGCATGTTTCCAAGCTATACTCGCACCGGGTCCATGCCTCTGGTAGCCATGTCATGTGCAGAACAGGCGTATGTGTTGCTGTGCATGTGAAAGCAATAGTGAGATTGCATCCATGAAATTTGGGAACCACAACGTCTGGGTATGCAAGTGCTTGCATCCACAATGTGCTCAAATTCCTAGGTGCAATGATGTGCAGATCGCATGTTCAGGGGATGCGGGTCGCAGGTCCAGGCCATTAATTTGTCATATTGAATGGCATTTAGTATAATTTATCCAAAATATATCGCAGTATAATTGATCCAAAATATTTGCAGATTGTTTGTTTTCAGAATGTGTGTATTATTGCGTACTTTGCAAAGAGTCAGCCGCATTTCCCATGTCTACCTGTACATCATCTTGATGATGTCCTCGCAGGTCCATGGCTGCCTGGCACAGGCTATGAAAGGCCGCGCTGCCCCGTAGGCCTCCTGCAGGCACACTTGGAGGACCCAGCCACCGCGCTGTATAGAGTTCTCACTGCCCTCCGGTTGGACGCTCGGTTCGGCGGCGATCTGGCAATCCCCATCCCCTGAACCCGATCCATCGACGGCAGGCTTGGTTTTTGCGCAGCAAAAACTGATCGCAATTACGTTTTTACGCATGAAAATGCGTAAAATACGTAAATGCAACGTAAAAACTGCCCGGTGCACATATTGCACAGTACATATAGACTTACGGAGTCCTAAGAGTGGCAGCCAGACGCCCTGGAAGTGGCAGAAAACGAATTCTTGTTCAGCGTCATTATCACCCTTCCCAAGCGCGAGGTGGACATCGTGTTTCGGGTACTGGAGATGGCGGAGGACTCACCATTGTATGAAACTTTCATCGTGGAGCCTGGGAGTCCTAGGGAGCCGTAGAAACGTAAAAATGGCCGCAAAAATAGACCCTCTGGCAAATTTGCGTTTTGGCGCATAAAAACGTAAAAGCAAAAACGTAAACGTAAACGTAAAAGTAAAGGAAACGTAGAAGCAAAAACGTCAACGTAAATGCAAATCCTGATCGACGCTGCTCTGCGCAATCCATAGGAATGTATTGGAACAACCAGAAAAATGGCAAAATTGCCAGAGCGCTTTGGATATGCTGTACATTCAAATCACCTGCACATCATTTACGGCAGGACTTTGGCACATGGGGATTAGCTCGAACAAAGTATTCAGCATATTTCCAGAAAGCGGCTTCAAGCCGCACAGGGTACGTATAGGTCCAGCGAGGGGAAGTCAGTCCGCGCTATCACCCCACAATGTATGTCCTGTGATCCGTTTGATCAACTGAATTCTGGTGTGTGCTATGTCTGTGCAGAGTCCACTGACGGCGGCCCCTTTTCCAATGGCTCCTGCTACCGGCCATTCCCCATTTGCTGGCTACCCATCACTGCTAACGGGCCGCCAACCCTGTGCGTGCATTCGCTCTCCCTCGCTTTCCAGCGACCTGAGACTCACTCCCCCCAACATGCCCTCGAGCGAAACTCTTCATCGCCGTGCAAGTCTGCTAGCGCTGCTGCGTGCCCTTCGCTTCAGGCGGGTGGAGACGCAGCACCCGATATCACAGGCACCTTCATCCCGCTGACCAAAGCGGCTTGCAGTCGGGGTACAAAACGCCGCCGGTCGCCTATGGCGTTGCATCCCTTCAAAGGGAATGCGATGACACTAGGAAAAAAAGTTCCAAATAACACGTGTTCAAACGTGTGCCAAGTTTACGGGTTTGTGTTATTTTTGTGTTCTTAGCATGCAGAGGTTTGATGAAATGTGTTTTATGGGTGTTCACAGAAATGTTATTTGGTCCTTTTTTTGCTGGTATTAATTTTACATGCGACTTTCCCGTGCCGGAACTTTCGCTGCACCTCATTTCCCCAACCGCATCCCCCTCCAAAGGGAATGGGGTGTTTTCTTGGCCCCACCTGGAGGCGCTGCTGTCGTGCTGACAGGAATTTCCCATACTGTTCTCAAAGCAGTACCTTTGTGTTCACAAGAAAGCAGCACCTCAAGGTGTGGCGAATAAAGCGCCCATTTTGTCGAAGCAGGGGATGGCAGATGTGGTTCTGGAAATCGCGTGTAGCTAAAAAGGGAAGGCGTTCGCAAATCTGCGTCTTCATATCGACCCGGGCGGAATGCGGGCAGATGTGTATGGCCCCCGTGCAAATGCCTCGCATCACACACATTACGCTGATGTAAACCACAAGGCAGCCGCGTAAACGAGCAGAACACGTCGAAAAAAGCGAAAAAGTCTACCCCCTCCACAATATCACGATTAACAGGCCCTCCTGTGCACGGATACCTTTCCCCGCCTCATCTGCACAATTTTCACAGCGCATCTGTCTTCCCACATCGCTTTGCAGGGGATGCACTTTCCGCCCCACCTGGAGACGCTGGTGTCGCGTGGCAGAGACAAGGCGCCGTTTTGGACGCTGATTCTTGGGCTCATTCGTCCGCGGCTTGCAGACTTGCGCGCTCTCGATTGGCGCACCTCAGACTTGCCGCGGTGGAGGGCAGCCTGCAGGGCAGGGCGCAGGCGGAGATCTCCTCGGGCAGCCCACCCCAGTCGCGGCTGGGCGGCAGGCGCTCTCCTGAAGATGGGCAAAAAGGTCCCCAAGGGGCAGCGAATGGGCCCATCCGCATACCGTCACTTGATGGCCTGAGTGACTGGAGAATTTGGAAGTGGACGAAAAGCGACCAGTGTAGAAATGGCTTGAAGCGGGCTCTTCGAATGCTTGGAACCCATTGGAATTCATATGATCAAACAGAGCAGGTGAGCCCTCACACGACTTGCACTGCTGGCCGGCAATGGAGCCAGCTCTCTTTTCCGTTGGAGAATGCTGGGCTTTGTGCTGCTTCAAATCGCCTTCTAGGATGCGGGCTTCCGGAATTCAGGTGACTAGTTTTCTTCCGAACTGACCCCTGTTAGGCCAAGGACTCGCCGTATACGTGCTGCTAAGTCGCTAGGACAAGCACTTCCCCATGCGTGGACCTCGCTCCCCGGAGTTCATGCATTATGAGTTGCTGCATCTTGTGCAGGTCCAGCAACAGGGGCACTTGTTCTGCACGTTGCACGGGCTTTTCCCCCTGGTCGCTGACAGGAACGGGTATGAGCTGAATCCTGTACTTCTGTGGAACGTGGTTTCCGCTGAATAGTGTTTCCACGCGCTGTGCCAATGCTCGGTACATTGCGCAATCAAACTCCGTCAGCCGGGGTCCCTTTGCTGCTCGGGTGGTGCTTTGTCTTCTCAGTCAGGAAAACTCTCCCTGGATAATTAGTCAGGAATTTGTAAATTCCCCCGCGCGCAAGTTTGCGAAGCTGGACTTCCCATTCCCAGGCATTGTTCCGATTGGCGGACGACACAGCGCTGTTTCTCGCTTAAGAAATTTGGACATTTTTGATGCGGTGTCTGGCAACGCCGTATACGTATATATAAAGGCTTCATCCTGGATTTTCCACGTCTCGCGCGACTTTTCAGAGTGTGGGCGACCACATTGGGAATTAGATATCTCGACTATGGCGCCGTTTTTCGACGCTGCAGGATCTTGCACATGCACGGCCTGATACGGATGCAGATTTAGGCAACTGATGGTCATCGGGGCCAGTCCTGGCATGCAAGGACCCTCGGCGCAGAGGGCTCCCAGTATCGCATCAGTCTCGATGCCAATTGCTCCATAGCACATGTGGCAGCTTCCTTTCTGTGATGCAATCCGACGAGCGCTTTGTGGCAGCCAGCTCTTTAGCTCGAGGCTGTGAGCTGCCACTCATCTCGATAATGAATGGACGGTTTCATTCCCGTAACGTACTAACCAATGTGTTTTGTTGCAAACCAGTGTAGGCGTCCTCGCTAAGTATTCCCTTTCCTCGTGATTCACCACCTCGCTGCATGCGCCGCTTCTTCCAATTCGCATACTAGCGCTATTGAGTTTACAGTGGCCCCCAGCATTGCTTGAAGACTCCAAATATGCACCAGCATTTTCATGGACGCAAATATGAAGGTATTTACTTCTGATTGGCCTACCAATGTGCATCCCGGCATACGGGCTCTAATTGGTGGTCCTCCCACGCAAAGTACAGCAGCGCGCCTGCAATTTGGGCTGTCAACGCTCCCTGCCAGGTGCCCAAACATCGCAGAACAAATTCCAAGACGCTCGAGGCGGCGGTTGGCAGGCATGAGAATCCTGCCCCCAGCCGTTTCGGATTTCCGGCCTCCTCCTGGGAGACATATCCCTGTGCCTGGGTGGATCCCTCGAGCTCCTCTACTCTCCGGCGCAGCTCTTTGCATTGATCCAAAGCTGCCTGGAGCTGCTGATCCAAGGGCACCGATGACGGCCGGACATTCACCTGTTGAGGAAACGTCGTAGGAATCATTTGGTCGCTTTAAGCATACAGTACCTTTAGGGCAACCTGGAACCTGCTGGCTCATAAAGGGCACAGAGTGGCAAACATACTGTTCAGAATGAGACCTCGAGGGAATCTGTACACTGTTCGTAACTTTTGGTTCCACCGACGATAAATTCCATCATATTTTGTTGATCTCCTCAGCTACAGAGACTAGCGACAATGCCCAAACACTTCCGCGAGCAGGTGCGAGACATGGAAGGAAGCACCTGCGGAAAAGCGCCACGGGTGCCAGAGCTATCTGTCGCTAACGACAGACACGCGAAAACCTCTTGCGGATTCCAGAGCAGAGGTTCACGCAACCCACAGAATAGAAGCACTTTAAGGGGCACCACAACACACAGGCGTTTTGCTGAGTAATTGTTGTAAAAATTTATGAGGAATTAAGCCTCAATCCTGAGGACAATATTTTTGTATATCTTTTTGTATGAACCGCCTGAGAGATTCAATTCACTTGCGCTTGCATATAGTTACAAGTACCTGCATCATTGCCGCACGTGCTGCATATATGTAAGCACAAGTTGGAGACACGTTTTCTGTTTGCGTTCAGCAAATTTTCCACCACAGCTCGCATTTTTATCACATTGTGGACTTGACTTAGAGGTCGTTTGTGATTTCGGTTCAACTTTGCTTCCGACGGCCGGCGCCGCCTCAAGCATACAGTGGCCCAAAGCCCCCAAACAAGCTACAGGAGTTTTGAGACTACCTTCTGTTGAATTTTCCCTCAGAAGTGCGCTGTGGGCAAAAACATCAATAGCATTTTTCAATGTATGAATAACAACTATAAATGCTAGATTGTTCCGTGCCATGCAAAAAATCCTCTACAATGCGTATGCATACGACCTGCAGAGAAATATCTACATGTTGCGCAACAAATGCCAACTTCTAACTGTACAAACAGTCAGCATTTACATATGTTAGATATGTATGTGCATGTTTAACTATACTTAGGCCCCTGTCTGCGAGAGCATCCAGGATGTCTGAACAAGCACCTGCACAGCGTTGGTAACTCCCTGGGCCCTGCGCCCGAAACGCAGTGAGGACAGCGTCTCGGGCGCGTCGCTCCATTCGGGAGAGCAGCACACGATGATGGATGTCATGGCGCTGCCGCCCAAGGCATCCTGAAGCAGGCGCGTCAGCTTGCTGTCGCGGTACGGCACGTGCTTCGACTTGGCCTCCGTAAGGGCGCATATCACTTTTGTGAGCTGCAAATTTGCAGGCAAAGCGCATCTGTCAGTGTTTTTTGCGATTAAAGAGTCACATGTGCAGAACCAGCCTGCAGGCCCCCCCTTTGCTCATATTTTCGATTCAACATACTTGATGTGATGCCATTGTGTTTAAGTTCACTTTTTGTGGCGTCGGATTGATGCACAGTTTCGAGGTGATTTAAAATAGCGGCATTGTACACATGAATCCGTATTATAACTGATAGAAGCCCGAGCCACCACATTTCTGGTGCCTTCGCAGTCAAAACTGCTTGATCCGCCATATTCCTGTTCAAACGTCACATTCACGTCGAGCACGTATTTGATTTTATACACTGCCGCAGTGCTTCAATTTATACTATCCGTTTGTTGCATTAAACTTCATGTATATATAATTTCCATATCTGCATGTTTAACAGCATAGTTAGAATTTTAACTATGCATGGTGACGGCAAATGTACCTATCAGCCATAGTCGTGCTACGAAGAAATCCTTGCCTCTCTGTACTCTCCAATGCACCATGTGATGACAGCACCATGTGCTGCAACTGCCTAGAACCTAACATTTCGCACATATCTACATTTTCGTTCTCATATATCGCATGAATCCAAAATTACGTGAATCTGCTCTCACTCTCGTACAACAGATAGACGGTGAATATTTAAATCGTTAAGAATCTCAATTTGACAGCTTGATTTGCTGTAAGTTGATCAAATATATTGGTAAGGACACCATAGTAATGCGAATTGCTCACTTTCATGAAAACTGATGAATCACCGCCCATGGACCCACTATAGTCGTCCGTTCAAAACGCAAATTCCTGACGCGCATTTCAAAGCCGCAACCTCTCATTCGTCGCCTTTTCATGTACAGAGGCCGCAATGTCAGTGCATTTCACTTTCGCTCACCACTGCTCATTTTCTAGATCACAGCTAAGTTGCAGATTACTTCAACATCTCAAACTCTTTTCTTCATATCCTTGAGCACCTGCCCGAAACAGCGTGCCGAACCCCTTGCTGGAAAAGCGGTTCAACAGTGCAACATAACGTACTACGTACATGTTCCCAAAACAGTGTACAGCTGTCCCCAAAGCACAGTCGTTGTGTTGGGGGACAATTTTCTGTTGTTCCAAAAATATGTCCCTCCTAGGGGATCGCTCCAAAATCGCTTCCCTGCCGCCGCCGCCACGCCAAAACGCACCGCCGACAGCGATTTGTTGATGAGTATGCCCTCGTCCAGCGTCAGCCCCGCCGCGCCCGTCTTGTCCCCCCGCTCGCTCCCCGCCAGGTCCGCTACGCAAAGTTTGCCCGACCGGCACCCCCCGCCGCCCCGCGCCTCCACCGTCACGCACACAATGCAGTGCGACCGGCTGGAGGCGGCGTTCATGGCGGTGGCCGCCACCACGCGGTTGGCGATGCCGGCCTCCGTGGCCGCCACGAGTTCCTCCTCGCTGTGGACGGGCACCTCGGTGGCGCCGGCCGCGTGGACGCCCCGGCGGGCGTCTTGCTTCACCTGACGCACTCGCATTGCATTTTCTAGAAAAATGTGACGATGGTTAGGACGAAAGCCGCGGCACTGGCGTGCACGGTCTCTCCGAGGAACGGGAAGCCAACGTTAACCAGATGCATTACAGGATGAGCCACTCGGTCAAATAGCACACACTGTAGACAAGTCGACATCGCGTCCCATTGTCCCCGCGTACATCGCAACACAATTGAGCAATACTGACCAGACCTAATTCGCACCATGAAACACTATATATCGCTTTGTCACTTGATGGCTTCGTCCTCGTCGTCACAATGGTGATGATGATGATGATTAGGATGATGTTGGCGGTGATAATAATGATGATGATTGTGAGGACAGTTATGATTGCTCACCTGTAGGTTATCTCCCGGCCCCAGCAGGTCCCGTATCGTCTCGCAGTACACCTCCACCGCGCTCACCCGCACGTCAAACTCCGCCTCCCCTGACGCCATCTGGATGCCCTCGCCTAGGGCGCCCACCGCCCGGGCCAGCACGCCCCGCCCCTCCCGCGCCCTCATGTCGCCGATGAGCGTGTGCGTCTTGCCGCTTCCCGTCTGGCCGTATCCCAGGATGGCGGCGTTGCGGCCTTGGAGCACGGCATCCACGAGCGGGCGGATGTCCTCAAACACTTCCTCCTGGCTGGCTGTCTCGCCGTATACCTTGACATTCATGATGGTTCATTAACTGACGTGTGCCACAATGTTTGTTGCCATTTTTGCAGCAAACAGAATTGCATTATAGCGCGAGTTAAATAACGGATTCTAAATTAATTGCTGTAGTGCAATTGTCAGCTCCTTCTGCGAATTAGTCTAGCGAAATGTACAAAAATGCTGTTGATGCAGTGGATGCACCTCGGGGTGCAACAAAGCAAAGCAAGCCGCTACGTGTCTGGGCGCCTCGTGTCCCTCACTTGCCGCGATGAATTGGGCCTTCGAACATGCGTTCTCTCCGCATTGCGATCAGCGTGAATTCTGGGGGCCACACCCTACGCCTTCCCCACAACCCACCCACCCACCCGCACACACACACACACCCGCACACACATACACACGATTGCAGCAAATCTGGCCTCATTTAGCAGCCGCCGATCTCCAAAATGTGGCGCGGCGCGGACGACTCGGGTCGCGCCAAAATTGCCGAACTCCAGCGCATGACATTGACGAAGGCAGTCAGGGTCGAGGGGTGGTGACACCTGAGCGGGGACCGTGGGCTCGAGTCCAAGGCGAGGGTTTACAGCCGAGCAAATGGGACAACAGGAGTTCTGGCACTTATATCCAGTCTGCTCATGAATGTCTTTGATGCAATTCCCAATTCCTCATAACTTCTTCATGAGTCCAGCTTTCAATAATACTGAGTCATTCCAGTTGCAACAACATGCCTGCGCATGATATGGATTGCACGCATTATCGTTCTTATTATTATTCCAGCGCGTTTTCATTAACTCCGCGCGCCCGCGCACACAATGGCAGCGGCCCGGGCGCCCGTCGCGGCCACCGATCGACCGTGCTCCGATCATCCTTGACAGCTTTTGTCGCATCCTGTGAGTGTGTGGCCTTCGGATGTGGCCGCACCTGCCAAGAGCGACGGTTTGAATTCGCTCATGGCGATGGGATTGCTCGTTGTTCCCGCTTGCATGGATGCAATGTCTCCGATCGATTGCGGAAGCGCGCCCCGCGGCCCTGAAAAGCTGCCTCCCGTGGCGACAGGTCTGCAGAGAGCGCGCGGCGAGGTTCAAGGTTCCGTTTAGGACGTCTTGCGTTCAACGAGCTCCACGAACGAGATCGGTGGTTGCTGTCTTCGGAACCGCTGTTCTCAGTTCCCTGTTCTCTGTTCTCCGGTCTCTGTTGTCTGTTGTTGCACTGGACGTGGCCATGGTGCATTCTGGAGATTCACGCATTGCGGGCACAGCGCGAACGGCGACATGCATATCTTTGTCGTAACACCATACGCAGGAAATAATCTCTTGTTTTCCGCTCTTATGTTGCGGCTTGTCGCCCGGCTGCGCTTTTCAAGCGGGATAACTCGCCTTGTCGAACGCGAACGAGCCGGACTCCCTGCCTTGGGCGTCCAGCACGCACAGCCCGCCGCCGGGAGCCGCCCTCACGCACCGCCTGCCGCCACCGCCTGCCCTCGCGGGACGCAGCCGAACGGCCACCGAAGTGGGGCGCTGCTGGGGTGGCCCGTCCATCCCGGCAGGTAGACAGCCCTCCCCCGGGGGAAATAGGCAAAAGGGGAACAGCAGCTTGGACGCGACCGATCGACTCGAGGCGTCGGAAATTTCCGACCTGAAAGCTCCGAAGCCGGCGCGCACGAGGCAGTGGAACGCAAGAAGTCAGTGCCCTTGAAAGGACGGGGACGCCAAGGCAATGCGGCTCTCAAGGCAGAGGGAACGAAGTTTCAGGGAAGGGAAGCGGGACGTCCGAGATTGACGATTGAGCTTAAAGGGGGAGGGCAGCTCAAGCCGCCCAGCGATGCCTGGCTCGGGGATCGGCGACAACTGTGCTGCCAAAGAGGGGCGGGGGCGGGGGGGAGCGATGTGCCAGAAAAGAGGGGCGGGTGGGCGGGCGGGGGTTCGAAACGGCGGTGGAGACTCCGACGCCGGTTGCTGTTGCCACCTGGCAAGCTTGATATTTGCGGCGCAAGAACATCGTATATTTACACATGTTTTACGCGAGAGCGTGTAAAACTACTTAAAAAGGTTTTAAGTACGTGAACATACTGTGTTTAGGCCCTGAACAATAAACCTGCCAGTCGGCGAGGTGATCCGGACGCATCCAAGTGATTGTGATTTTCAACTCAACATCGTGCGTTGGTCGGAAGGTGATCAGGTTGCAACATGAGCAATTGCTGATGTCCGTGATCAAATGGTGTTTGAATCGAAAAACCGTGCAGTTTGTGTAGAATTCAGAGCACAGTGACTGCATGCATGTAGCATGTTGTTGCACCGTCCAGGGTTTGGGTTATTTTTGTGTTCTTAGCGTTCAGAGCTTTGATGAAATGTGTTTTATCTGTGTTCGCAAAAGTGTTATTTGGTACTTTTTTGCCTAGTGCATTGCATCAGAACCAGTACATGTACTGGTTGATGTACATCAACAGTATTGCGGAAGGTCTCTCATCCAAGCAACGTCGCTCAGCCTCTTGCCAATAGCGACGCCCGATGGCGGGGAACAACCAACGTGAACGTTTTGACAACGTCGACTTAGTAAAGGTTGAGTCGCTCAAGGCTTCGGGCTTCGTTGGCCTCTGGACAGTGCCGAAAACGGGCCTACCAAACTCAACTGCGCGAGACTCCCAACCGTGGCCTCCTTAGTGAAATAGCAGGAAGTACCACGCTTTTAATTGACGGATGCATTTGGGAAGACGGTATGCGAATAATAATCTCGAGTACCTCTTTATTCACAAGTGAAGCATCTCTGATACAGGGGATTGCGACACAGCCCAAAGTCCGTCTGTGGCGTCCCATCTCCTACTCCTCTGTCCCAACTTGCACAGGCTTTTAAAAACATAATACGCTCAACCTTGCTGATACGAAAGCTTCCATGCATTTGAGAATTGACAAGCTCTATTTGAATTAATTGAATTGCAGCCAAATAAACGCCCACTCGGCCGGCGCGAGGTTTGACAATGAAGTTGTGGGTGCGCATACAGTCAACCATTCCATCGCCGTTTCAATTATTGCAATAATTCAGCAATTGCTGAAACGCACTGACTCCAAATGGATACAATGCGGTATGGTGGCTCCCGTAGCTGCTCTGCATGCCCGCAAACATCCAAATTGCTGTTGGTAATCCTTCCAATTCAGGTGCAGGGGTTGATAGATGTGCATTTGAGCAGAGAGAGCCCAGGCAAGGCACCAATTCCAAGAAAGCTGTCAAGTTTTTTGCCTCAAAGTTGATGGCAAATTATCGCGAATTTGCAACAGGATCGCACAGAGTCGCAGCTGTAACGTCAACTGCAAAATGCAGCTTATATTATCCTTTAACGAGGCCTACTATCAGGCAACACCGCTTCTATCATTAAACATAACTTCTGAAATGAAATAAGAGTAATCGAGCGACATGCTCGTTGGGTACTGTCTTGCTTCTCCACAATTTTGCAAGTGTACGTCCAGGTGAACACAAACTGAACACGTCAAAAGCTCCCCAGCTCTAGTAGTGGATCACGATCCACTCTATTCTTTTTACTGCTCAAAGTATCCAGCCTGTTATTTGGATCGCTGAAAATATAAAATATTCAGGAGTAGATCAATGTCTTGAAAACGACGAATTTGTCTCTCATTGCTTCACATGAAATCAATTGGATTGGATATCTCCAAAGTTAAACTTGATCTCTGCATACGCACACACACACACACACACACACCACAAATAGTTGCATCAAATTCTGCCAGAATACGACATAGAGTACATTACAAGTGATATATACCTATCAGTTGGAGCGCTCCACTCCTTTCAAACCTTTCAAACCTTTCTTCTGGGCGAGGAAGCTCAAATATTTACGTCCCTGCACGTGGAAACCGCGCGTTCAGAGGCGCAGCTCCAACATCGATGTGCAAACAACGATCAGTCCCTCCGCAAAGCCTAAACACAACTGCTGCGGCGAGCTAGCGCTTCCAGTTGGCCCCGGATCTCGGGCAGCGACCGCAGCGAGCACGGGCACATGCAGGGGCTCAGGCCGTGGCCGCCTTCCTCCACCGTTGCAAGCCTCTAGAAAATGGCGAAAATGGAATTGAAAATAGCGGATAGAAAACGGCACCATGTGTGCGACGCCAACGCGTTGGCACGTACGGCGTACGGCGATGCCATTTCGACACAGAATGGTGATGCCAAATTGATTGCGATGGCATAAAAGTGCGGCCATCGGATGCGTCCGTATGGAGCAGCACGACGCAGCGCTTCAGAACCGCGTCTGTTCGGAAATGCGGCGTGGCTGACGCACAGGGCCAGCGTCGCGTGGCACCTCTTGGGCACATCTTTGCATGTGCATTCTTCCTCATCACCGCTCACAAGGCGCCTCCCGCTCCTGTGTGCACCCACCTGTTGTCCCGGCCGCCCTGACCTCGGCTGTCGAGGCCACGTTCTCCCTTGTCGTACCCTGGGCGCCAGCACCCGGACAGCGCAGGAAGCAATGGCTCGTGCGTCTTACTCGGTGCCTGACTTACGCACGCAGGTGGCGCTCGCAGTCGCCACCTCGACAAATTCTAATGTTGACGCGTGTGACGCCCTCGGAACTACGCCAGCTGCCCGGCATTGCTACTTATGGCAAGTATGAGAAAACGGCCTGGTTTCCGCCGACTGCCCGCGAGCGCAGCTTGTGCAGACAAACAGGATGCAGTGAAATGTGAGGGTCATCCAAGGACAGCCGGATCCCATCGGGGTGGCGTCGGCGCGTGCTTCTCAACATTTCATGCACGGCATTCAAATTTGACGGCAGTGCTCGTGGTGGTTCCGACGGGCAGCTCCCGGTCGGTGAATGGCAGTTTGGTTGGTTGGCAAGCGAAAGGCGACGGGATGGCCTGGCCAAATAACGGCGCACCCAGGAGCACCTCGTGGTGCTCCCGGGGTGGTAATGCCAGACGTGGCCTTCGTGTTGACCAGGCATGAGAGCCCAAGAATCCCTACTTCCGCGGACGCCGGTCGATTTTCCTTGATTTGGAGCGTCAAATGGTGGAGATTGGGGCGTGCAGGCATTTCCTGGAGATGCCACCGATTCGCCGACATCGCCTCTGCCTGCCGATGGGCGTCCCTGGCAAGAACCACCACATTTGCAGTATTGCAAATGTAGCGGTTTGTGGCATTAATTCTTGGCATTAATGCCAGTTGCCATGCTTGTTGTTCACGTTTACAGTACCCTTTCACGTTTACATTTTGACGCGTAATAATGCATAAATTGTGATATGGCCATTGTAAGGCCATATTTGCGCAATTTTACGGCTCGTCGGCACACCCGATTATGTCCCAAACAATGATCAGCCCTTCGGCATCTCGAGCGCCCGCAGCACAGCTCCCACCCCGCCCTCAGCACATTTATTCTTTGTCATCGAGCAAAATCTCGCTTTTGTGTCCCCTCCAGCGCGTCTGGATGCAGTTTCCAGCACTCGCTGAATCCTTCAGTACTGCCTTTACTTATACAGGGCCTGTTCTTCCTCATTTTTATGGCTATTTACGTGCGAAAACGTAGAGCATTTTTATGCGCAAATAGCCAAAAATCAAAAAAAGTCTTTACGGCGTAAATATCAAACCTGCTAATTGCGATCCCATGTTGACACTGAGTGGCGCCAGGCTTGGCTTTTCCGCCGTAAAAACTGATCATATTTACATTTTAATGCGTAAAAGCTGGTAAAATACGCAAATACAACGTAAATACAGCCCCATGTACATAAAGACAGTACACGGACTTGGAGAATCCTGGGAGTTGCAGTCAGACACGCTGGAATGAGTAGAAAACGAACTGTTGTTGCATGCCCTCGCTGCCCTTGCCGAGGCCGAGGTAGCCTGTGTGTTTTGGGCACTGGAGATGGCGAACGACTGACCATTGTCCGCGACTTTCGTCGTGTAACCCAGGTCTCCCAACGAGCCGTAAAAACGTAAAAATAGCCATAAAATACCCGTGTCGCAAATTTACACTTTCACGTGTAAAATCGCAAACGTTGAAACCAAGCCTGAGTGACGCCATCGTGATGATTGCGATGGCGCAGATGTAGCTGCGATGGCATCAATTAGTGTTACATGGCGTCTCAGTTCGCATCACATGTGCAGTACTGTACAGTAATGCCGGTTCTACCAGTGCGGGGTAGCTGACATCCCCTTGCCGATATCGGTGAAAGTTAGCCTTTGCCCAGCACAGTGGCGGAGCTTTCACACGAATGGGTGCGCGTCCTTAGCAGTGACTTGGAGCAAGAGAAAATATGTCCTTCGCAGCGCCCCGGTGTGCATGAAACTGCACGCGAATCTTCGCCTCCCATCGCCATCCATGCCTGCCCCCCTGCACCTCATTATTATTGGGCGATAGAGGAGGGACACATGGGCACCTAATTAGGAATAACCGTCAACCCTGTCCCTTGCCAGCCTTTGGCTAACGTACTGAAGCAATATTCAATGAAATTCAACATAATTCGCACCCACCTGTTGACTGCACGCAGCCCGTTGGAGCTGAGAAGGGCTTCATTCGTCCAGTTTCTGCCACTGAGGGCGATGCCGGGGTGTTCAGAGACGGTGGGCGGGGGCGACGGGAAGTCCTCGGGTGTGTGTGAGGGTTTGAGATGATGGTGGGATGGCAGCTAGCGGAGGGATCTCTGGCTGGTAAACGCTTTCCATGATTGCTGTTCCTCGGGATGCGCGTTTTGCAGGGTGGCGGGCGGGAAACCATGGAAGAGTGGAAACCGTGGAAAGTTGGAAAACCTTCCGACGTCTTAATGTGTAAATCCATCATGCGCAAGGCGGCGGAGAAAATACCTCCATAAATTGTGGAATGGGCAAACTTGAGCCAATGATGGACATTTCGTTATTGGCGTCCCCGTCCGCATACAACGTCTCCTGTCGTGGTATTCCAGGTCTCCCCAATCCGATCGAGAGAATTGTGCGCACCTCAGTTCTGTCTTTGGCTGTCTATGGCCTAAGCTTACAGCATTCCGCACAGCATTGCATGGACACCAAAGCTTCAGCCACAAGCAGCCCAGCAGCAGTCGTTTCAATGCCTCTTTACATCATCTCAATGGTGTGACACAGAGTCTTAAAGAACACCTTGGTCAGCATGGAGTGCCTTCCACATATCCCGCTGCCATCCTTGTGAAACAACATCTTCAGCTTGGAAACAACCACAGTCGCCCGACGCGTGCAACGGCGACGGTCTCAAAATAATCTTCAACGTTGACAACAATCGAGATCGATGCACAAGCCAATGCCAGTCGGCATCCAAACGGCGTCTCGATCATTTGCTGAACGTCGCATGCTCCAGAGCAGTTGTGTGCCCCAATCCCCAACAACGAGCGCGCTAATACTCTGCAATTCAACAAAGGGAGGATTGCACTGTGAAGACCGCCCAATCTGATGAGTCCGCCTTGAAGAATGGACAGCGAATTTGGCGTCGGATGTGTCGGACGTACAAACCACTGGCCGAAAAAATGCCTATTTGACACAGTTTCTAATCGTGTTAGAATGCGTCAAATGGGACCACATTGTGCATTCAAACGTAAAAACCATGCTAAGATGGGACCAGACCGTGCTATTGTAACTGTTTTGGTTTTCATGGTGTTGTTTTTCAACAGTAGTACCCGCCCGCCTCAGGAATACAGACCCACTCGACTTGGCCGCTCCCTGAACACCTGCTCAATGTCAGCCAGGGAAGCTTCGGGGAAGATGCTTCGCAGAATGCGGGCCAGCAGCTTCTCTGTCGCTTCCTCCAAGGACTGGTCCTCTGTCCGACCTGGACAATAGGGAAACACATCATGTCACTGACGCAGTGCGCCACGACACGCCAAACCGTGTGCCATAGAATTCGGTGCCCACCACGCTTCCATTCGATTGTCACACTTGTGTACAATTATATGTACACTGTGTACAATGCTACACTGTGTACAGTGCAGACGCAATGCAAGCTTTGTGAACGCCAGGGGTCGGTAGCACCAACTGAGCAGTCTGAGACTGAACTAAAGGACACCAAGTTGCTGTTGGCATTGCTGGACAAGTGCTGTGTCAACCGTTCGTGCAGAAAGGTTGTGAGCAAGCATTGCACAAACATCGAAGAATCGAATTTGAATTGGCGAACGACTGGGTGAAAATCGACATGCAGACATCACTGGGCCTATTCAGGGCATGAGCTTTGAAGGCATTTCAACTCAGCTCTCAACAAAATTATGCACAATGACAGAACCCACATCCACAATCCCCTGCATATTCCTTTGTTCTTCATAAACACAACTTCAAGAAAAAATTTAATCACTAACAAAAGATGAAACCGACTGGTGACAGACTTGCTCCTGAGCAAGTCACATTCTTTTAGGCGGTGGTACAAGATGTAGTACTTCATTGTACTTTGTTGTTTCAAGCTTTCCCTTTTTTCTAAAATTGCTGGCAGCTGACAGCACTACATCCGCGGCCTGGACACATCTCGCACCCAACAATCTGCTGAAAGCGTCGACCCCAATTGGCAGCGTCTCTTCCAGTGGCGGTCTTGGCCTTTTCTCAAATTCGAACTTCTTCAGTGCCTCGCCCAGTTCCAAATCGAACCTGTCCACCTCAATCTCCAGGTCATCCCTGCAAATGTCCAGCAGCAGCCACAGGCAACTCAATCGCTGCCCTTGAAGAGCTGCTAGTGACTGCATTCGCCTTATACAGACAACCAGCACTGACTGCAATAACATGGTGTTGACCAATGTGACAAATTGAGCACGGTTTACAAAGTGCGAGTAATGAGCATGGCTTTGCCAGCACCTCATTCCGAAGCCTTGTCGCAAGTATTCTGTCAACCCCATTGTTGAGACTCTGATCTCTTCTGTTCAGAGGTGAGTGGCATCTGACTTCTTCAGCACAGCGCGAAATTGGGCCACTATTTTTGTATCAGCATTTGGTGCAATTTGCCTCCTGAGGTGATTTTGCCCGTTCAAAATAAACGAAAGCCACATGACCCCTGGCTGGGGAGAACAAGTTGCAGATGTGCCATTTTGACAAGACAGCCTGCAGCCACCTTTCCTGACAACTTTCGAATGGTCGCCGGCACGACTGGACATGCACACACATCAATCCTGCATCCATTCTCAAGTCGTAACAAATTGCTGAAAATCGTACATCAGCTACATCAAGCATGTTGGAAATGTATCATAATGTGTTCTTAAGCCCCAGTTCTGGGAATTTTTGTTCACCATTTCGTCAGTCTGGCCGTCTGACCCTTAGCAAAGCAGACCTGCCCTGACTTACTCACATTACACCCAGCCGAGTGGCTGCCAGCGCGATGGACTTGTTCGGCACAACACCGCAGCCAAACTTCAGAGTCCACAGGATGAATAAAATCTGCTTTCGAATTAATGCCTGAGCAAACATCAGTCATTAGCAACCTGACGATTTGCTGATTTTGATGCACTGATTGGCCCCTGCAAGGTATTTTTCTATCGAAATGTCATCCCACAAAGTAACATCACATTTAAGAGGCAATAGCCACCTAGTCCTGAGGAGATGTGGGCCTACTGTCATCTCACAAGAATATGCACCGCGATATCAAGCCCAAAAGTTTGAGCGCA